CTTTACTGCTGCCTCTCTTCTTTGCCAAGTCTCATGATCTTTTCTAGGAATTCATCTCTCCTGAGAACATGTCCAAAGTATGTGAGATGAAGTCTCACCATCTTAGCTTCTAAGGAGCATTTTGACTATTCTTCTTCCAAGATAGACCAACCATACATACTTGTGTATAAGCCGAGTTTTTGAGCACATTTTTAATGCAGTCTTTGTGGAAAAATTAGGTGCCTCCACTGATATTCAGGTCAGCTTATACTCGAGTATATACAGTGTTAGTCCTTCTGGCAGTGCTTCCCTTCTGTGCATTGACTACATCTTCTGAATCTACTACACCCACTGAATTGTACACATTGAAGTAGGTGAACCTCATGGTATGTGAATTGCATCACAGTAAAGCCGTGGTCCATATGAGTACCTATTCCAAAGAAAGGTGTCCCAACAGAAAGCACCAATTCTAGAACAATATCATTGATATCACATGCAAGTAAATGTTTGCTGAATATTATCCAACAATGGTTGCAGCTGCACATTGACAGGGAACTGCCAGAGGCCTGATTCAGAAGAAGACATGGAACAAAGGAATAATATCATTGCTCACATAGATGGATCCTGACTGAAAGTAAATAATTCCATACAGTTGTGTTTTAGTGACTGTGCCAAGGCATTCGACTGTGTAGCCCATAAAACTACTGAATAACCTTGAGAAGAATGGGAATTCCAGATCACTTCCATCACGTGCATGCGGAACCCATACACGGATCAAGAGGCAGGTGCACAAACAGAACAAAGGAGTACTACATGGTTCAAAGGTAGGAAAGGTATGCATCGGGATTGTATCCTCCCACCATCTTATTTGCTCTGTATGTTTTATAAACAATCGAAGAAGCTAGCTTATATGGAGAAGGATGTGGCACCGAATTGGAGGCAGGTTTGCTGATAACCTGCAGTATGCAGATGACAGAAACGTGCTTGCTGAGAGGAGAAGGCCTGGAAACACGTGCTGAGGAAGGTCAAGGACTGCAGCCTGCAGCATGACTGACATCTCAGTGTAAAGAAGAGTAACATCCCCACAACTGGACCAACGGGTAACATCGTGATAAAAGGAGAAGAGATTGACGTTGTCAGAGATTTCATCTGGCTTGGATCTGCAGTCAATGCTCAAGGAAGCATCAACTGATGCAAAACCTCTTTAAAGTATCGAAGTACAAGGATGCTACTTTGAGGACTTAGGTGAGCCTGACCTAAGCCATGGTGTTTTCAATTGCCTCATATGCATGTGAAAGATGGGCATTGAATAAGGAAGACTGAACAAGAATTGTGTGTAATTTCGGGACTGGAGAAGCATATTGAAAGTAACACTGACAGCCAAAAGGAAAACATCTGTGTTGGGAGAAGGATGACCAGAGTGATCCGTAGAGGCAAGAAGGGCTAGACTTCATCTCATTTACTTTGAGCATGTGTTCAGGAGGGACCAGACCCTGAAGAAAGTCCTTGGTACAGCGGAGGAGCAGTGAAAAAGAGGAAGGCCTTAGATGAAACAGACTGACACAGTGGGTGCACCGTGGGCTCAAACATAAGAACAACTGTGAGAATGGTTCACAAGTAGGAAGTGTTTCATTCTGTTGTGCATGGGGGTTGCGATGAGTTGGAACGCACTTGATGGTACCTAACAACCATAACAAAGCGATGTCTACAAACCTCAAGCTCTGCTGTTGGCTTTGGGCTTCAGTGTCAACTTCTGTAAACAGGATTAATTACTGAACCTAACTCAAAGAGCAGATAGGAAGATTGTGTAGGAAATTGCCTTTAAACTCTTGGGAGGGTCATTGGTATAGTCAGTAAGAATGACAATGTTGATGATATTCCTTAAATAATACATGACCTCTCCCTAGTCCATCCTGAGTCATGCTTACATTGGTACTTCCAGCAAAATAGGTCAGGGGTGGGAACGTGGTTCATGAAGACCGAGGATGCATGAAAACTGACTGGCTCCTTAGCACCCTCAAACCTCACGTGCTTCTGAAGGCGTTGCATACAGGCGCATGACTGCTGTATGTGTTATTTATTTCTTAACTAATATAACTGAGACCTTGCTCAAGATGTGCTCATGAAAAATTACCCTTTTAATGGTAGAGCATTTAATGAGAAACTGGATTATCTACTGCATAAGTGCCCTTCATACAAATTAGCTTGGCCCTGAGTCCTAATCTAAATTGGGCTTCCTACTTTCCTCTAAATGACCTAATATTTTCATATTAATCTCTGCCCTCATCCACCTCATGTGGCTCTGCCTCTGATGAATCTCCCTCCCCAGCAGAATTCCGTGCCCTGACAAATGTTCCTGAAGGCCGTCTGTGTATCGGACTCATGGGCCTTTCGGGGGAATGAGATATGATGGCTAGAGGCTATGTCTCTCCACTCACCAGTGGTGTTTTAATGCTGCCAGTGAATTCAGTATCTACAGGTTTGAGTCAGGTGGGTTTAGTACAAGGTTGAGGTGGGGCTAAATTTATAGAGAAGGCTGGGTGAGAAGCAATTAATCATAGTGGTTAAGAGAACACACTTGCAGCGAAAGAACTCAAGCAAGTCACAAAGATGGGCTTGGACATCAGGGATTTCTGGGTTCAGGTCTAACTCATTAGCTAGCGATGTGAATTTGGGCAAGTTACTTGGCCTCACATAATTCAATTTAGATCCTCATCTATCAAGCTTGAATAATAGTACTTATGGTTAGGGTTATTTCCAAGGGTAAATGAATTAGTTTGTCTCAAGTGCTTTGGATAGGAGATGACACATGCTATCTGGCATCATTATGACAGTTGATATTTGGGGGAAGTCCCAAACAGCGAGCAGAACGGTGAAGGCAATGGTGCCATGTACTAGAAATGAGAAGCGCTATCTGTGACGGAGCATGATCATCTTGAGAGAAATCACAGACCAAGCCAGATGCTGCTCCTAAAAAAGATGGTAACAAACTATGTGGTTATGTAGGGTCTACGTGGGAGATGGTCATCTCTTTGTTCTCAGCTCCGGTCACTGACTTCTGCCCTCACTAACCTTGCGGTCTGGCTTTTACTGCAATTACAGTTTCTAACTGCTCATCCATGGGTTATTTCATCGCATAGACTCCTATTCAAAGGTTTCCATGTACTCAGAATCAGCAGGGATATCGTGGGGGAAAAACAAAACAGCAAGCAGAAGTCAGGGAGCATGTGACTTGACTCTGTAACCAGCCCTCCTTTCGGCCCCCTCACCGTACTGTCTATGTGTTTCTTTTACTGTGCTGCTAACATTGATGCTGCGGCAACTGCCATCCGCAGATAACCTGGTACCATGTGCCAGATCTCAAAATACATCCCTTGCACTTATTATCTTATTTAAATTCTTGTGCATGGCAACTCTCTAAAGTACATATTTTATCTTCCTTTGACAGATAAGGAACAGAATCAGAGTCTCGTTGACAGGCATATAAGGAGCCATGGTTTAAATGAGGCTCTGTCTTTAGAGCTTATATCCTCTTACACACCAAGCATGAAGCACAGCCCCAGCTGATCTGCACTCACGGAAAACTTCCTCCCTTCTCAAACACAACTTGTGCTTCTGCAGAGACAGACTTAGTCTCATTCATCCCTTGCCAGCGAGTAACAGCATGTGCTCTGAGAAGATGCTCATAAAAGGCAGAATGCGGGAAAGAATGACATGAAACAGGCTTATCTCCAATGTTAGCCACTCTTGTGGTTGGCTCTTTCTGAAGCTTGTCCTCACCTGAATGGTGAGGTCCTGAGCCCCACGTTATGGAAACACCTTAGTCCACACATCCTGCAGAGAGAGGAAGAGTGATGATTTCATCTCTCGAGACCTTGACTCTCCATTCCTGACCAGCGGGGGAGGATGCGGGGGAGGATGGTGCAGGACATTCTGGGGACTGAACATCTGAGAGCTAGAGAGTGCTAGCTTTCAGGACCCCCGTGCGCGCAATGCCTTGATGTGAAACGAGGCACCATAAGATGAGGCAAGAGCTGGCTCCCCACTTACTGCCTAGATGGGCTTGGACAGGCACCTGTAAGTCTGTGACTGCGTCTTCAGCATCTCAAAGACGAAACGGGTGGGGCTGTGGGGAAGAGTGGGCACAAAGTTTCTAAAACCTCTCGCCTGAAGCAGATGGCCACTGCACAATGATGACTGTCTTGATTTTATGTGGCTATGTTTGAACTCCTGATTGATTTCTCTTACCAAAACATTATGTTAATAATTATGGAGAGAGCCCTCTGCGAAGTGTGGAGACACATAGCCAATCGTGTGGAAGCCCATTTCTGTACACACGTGAGTTAGCAGAAGAGAGATCGTAAAACCATTTTTTTGGATAATTGTCCCCGGATCATTACTTGATACAAAGCGATTACCCTGGAGTCAGACTATAAAACAGGCCCTGGAATTGGGTGTAAGAAAGGCCTTGGACTTGAGCCAAAGGCATAGTTGATGCTGGGGACGTGTAAAAGACTCGGAGCCAATGCTAGTCTAACAAGAATTGCAGCTGTGATTACTGTTGGTTGAGTACGTACTGTGTTAGGTGATTTATGCTTGTCAACTTATTTCTTCATTGTAATATTCCATGGGGGGTATTTGTTTTTCTCCCTATGGAAACGGAGGCTCAAAAAACGTAATGTGCTTTGCCTCGGCAGCATTTAAATATACAGGGCTAGAATTTGCCTCCCAGCCTAAACTGCTGGATTCAATGCTTTGGCTTTCCTATCATGTTACCCAGTGCTCCAGAGTCAATCCTAACTCATAGCATCCCTGTAGGAACAACCCCTTAAGGCATCTGAGGCTGTCGATCTGTACCGGAGCAGATGGCTTCATCTCCCTCTCTAGAAGTGTTTTAATCCAGTGGGCCACCGGGCTCCTTTCCTGCAGCATGGGGGAAGCAAAGAGTGAACCTTGGAACTCGGTAATTGTAACATGCGCAGTCACCGCATTGTCCGAATCCTGCTTTTCTCTGTTTTCAGGTCAGGATCGCAGCGAAGCCACTTTGATCAAGAGGTTCAAAGGTGAAGGTGTCCGGTACAAGGCCAAGCTGATTGGGATCGATGAGGTTTCTGCAGCTCGGGGAGACAAGTTATGTCAGGATTCCATGATGAAGCTCAAGGTGCCGTGCCACATTTGTTTTTAATATCATAGGTCTACTGTGGAGGAGAAAAAGAAATGGTCTAAACATGTCTGTATTTTGCCCTCTGGTGAATACGTCAAAAGACAGTCCACAAAGATAAAATCTGATTTCTTTCATTCTTATATTTTCTATTAACACACTACAAATGTTATAATGCAGGAACGTTTTTATTTATTTATTTTTAAACATTTTATTGAGGACTTGTACAGCTCTTGTAACCATCAATTGTATCAAGCACATTTGTACATATGCTGCCATCATCATTTTCTAGATAGTTACTTTCTCTTGAGCCCTTGGTTTCAGCTCCTTTCCCCCCACCCCACCCTTGGTCTCTTGATAAATTATAAATTATTATGAATTTCATATCTTAGACCGACCACTGTTTCCCTTCCCTCACGGTTTCTGTTGTTCATCCCCTCGGGTGTGGGGGAGGGCTGTGTTGTGTGTCCGTCATGGCTATCAATTCCCCTTTCCTCCCCTCCACCCCCCACCTTCCCTTTACCCTACTGGTACCATTACTCCTATTTCTGTTTTAGGAGAATATTTTTGATGTACCGTGTTACCAACCATATATTGAGATGTAAGGATATCACAGACATTTCTGGCATAGAATAATTTAAAGAGGTAGTTTTGTAGAGAAATATACTGGAAATTGGTTAAATGTGTAAAATAATAAGAATATTTTATTAAATGGCTTAAAAACATATAAACAAGAACACTCTTGTCTTCCAACTTTTAATCCTATCCTCTGTTCTATTATTTCTTTTCTTTAAGTGATAGTGTAAGACATGACATAATAATAATGTATAAATTATCAAGGGTGCATGAGGGAGGGGGTATAGGGAGGGATGGGAAAAAATGAGGAGCTGATACCAAGGGCTCAAGTAGAAAGAAAATGTTTTGAGAATGATGATGGCAATGAATGTACAAATGTGCTTGACACAATGGATGGATGTATGGACTGTGATAAGAGTTATATGAGCCCCAATAAAATGATTTTAAAAAATAGTAGGAAGACGAACAATAGAGCAGAGTCCACAAAAGACCTTGGACTTTTAAAACATAGAATTTAATTATTTCCTGATTGCAGAATTTAAATGTTAGAAGAATTTTAAAATACAAAAATGTATAAAGAAAATAATTGAAGTAATTGACACACAAAATCCATGTGATATTCGTATATAACATACAACCACTGTGTTTTTACATACCACATATATGAAGTATGGAGCCCTGCTGACTCTGGGTTCGGCATTGGGCTTCGAACCACAAGATCAGTGGTGCAAATACACTAGTGACTCCACAGGAGAAAGATGAGGCTATCTACTCCCATGAAGATTTGCAGCTCACAAGCCCTACAGAGAGTGGCTCTCCGTCAGAATTGGGGTGCTGGTAGTGGTTTGGGGACTTGGGGGGATTTTTCAGGGGCATTTTTTGGTTGCATATGGATTATAAAAACCAAACTTATTGCCATTAGGTTAATGCTACTCATAGCGACCCTGTAAGACAGAGTAGAACTGCCCCTGTGAGCTTCCTAGACTGTAACTCTTGACAGGGATGGAAACCCTCGGCTTTCTCCCTCGGAGGGGCTGGTGGTTTCGAATATATATGATACTCCACATATAGATGTAATAAAATAGAAATTACTATTTATACAATCATGTTATTTTTTGTATTGAAATATGAGCATTTTGTTGTTAGGTGTCAGCAGATTGATTCTGACCCTTTGCACAACAGAATGAGACACTGCCCAGTCCCACACCATCCTCACCACGTCCTGTGCCTGAACCCATTGTTTTCTAATATCTTCAAGTAATCTCTGAGACTAGAACTTGGCATATATATACATATATATATTTTTTTAAACTGGAAAGGAAAAAGGAAGGAAGAAAATAAATCCAGTCTGGCAAAGTGCCTAAAATAACTGACTGAGACAACACTGGTGAAATGCCCCACACATCACTGCCTCTTTTGTAGATGCTTAATCCATAACAACTATTATTATTGTTTGTGTTCTGTCAAAATCCTTCAGCAGTTTGGCACAGACACCAGATGGATATAAACTGGTCCTATAGTACAGCTTCAGGAATCATGCTTTTTAAAATCTTATTTCATCATTCAGTTTCTAGATTACACTTGCTTTTGGAAAAGCTGTTTTAGAAGCTGTCTTCTTTGTAATCACTTCGAATCTCTTATAGTGTGGACCCAAATCACAATCTCACAGATATTTATTTTGGAAGACTTAAATGTATCCGTTTTGTCATAATTAATCAACACCTGAAGAATTTTAGAGCAGTGCAATAAAAAAAAAGCCACCATCTTTCTCTGGAAATTGCAATTCAACTGAGACTTGACAAAGGTGGGGGCAGGAAGAATTCCCAATTCCACCTCTATAGCTTGTTCAGGCCGGAGCCCCTGGGTGGCATGGAAAGTGACTTGCTTAGCTGCTAATTGAGTGGTGTGGAGGTGCGAGTCTACCCAGATGTGCCTTGGAAGAAAAGCCTGGTGATCTACATTTGTAAAATGAGCCTTTGCACACGCATACATGGTTCACCATGAGTAAGAATTGGCTCGATGGAGCTGTACGGGTGCCGTGAAGTCCTGACTCAGAGATGCAGTGGCCTGTCTCTGGACGAGTTGGCTGACTATAGCCCCCCTTGTATTCCCTGCCCTCGGAGGGGGCCTGCTGGGCTATGCACATTGGGCTACGGACCGCATGGCCAACAGCTTGAAACGACTAGTCGCCCACAGGAGAAAGACGAGGCTTTCTACTCCTGTAAGTACTGACAACCTCAGAAACCCACAGGGGCAGTTTGACTGGCTCCTGTACAGTTGCCGTGTGCCAGAACGGACTTGTTGGCAGTGAGTTGGGGTTTTGGAGCCACATCTCAGAGGAAGACGTGTAACAGCCAAGAGCTCAGACCTATAGGCAGCCTCTTTGCCAGTATGCACATTCCACAGAGAGGGCCCACAAGAGACCAGGTACAGGTTGCTCAGCCCGACTTCATCTGTTAGTCATGCCTGCCTCCCAAGGAGACCAGAGCGACCGATGAGAAAAGCCAGGACTCTGATGCTTGCTGAAGTCCCTCCAACCTGAACACGAGGCCAGGAAACGAGATCTCTGCTCCAATTAATATTAACTATACCAAGAAACTGTTATGTGATCCTTCATCTCCGAAGAGCTGGTGTTCGCCCAGAGTCTTGTGTCCACTGAGGAGAAAAAAAAGGAACGGATGTGTCTTTCCCTAACCTAGTCCCAGCAGATTCAGTCCTCCATCTTGGATTGCCTCCTTTCCCAGCAACCAAGGTCTAGGTGACAGGAATTCTCCACCTGTGCCCATCACAGCGTTTTCCTCAGGAGTCGCATTGGGCTGAGCTAGCTAGGCCAGGGCTGGTGGTGACACTGACCATGTGAGTGCCGTGTGTGTGTGTGTGTGTGTGTGTGTGTGTGTGTGTGTGTGTGTGTTAGAGAGAGATGCTGCAGGGCCATCCACCTGTCACCCCTCATGACCGTGAAACCCCCAAAGCCCCAAGAGTTATTATACCTGCCATGAAGCCCTCCTGTCAGACGTGCTGAACTTGGTGAGGGTGCCTTGGTTCCCAGACAATTGTTTCATTCTTTGCAAGTTGCCAGGGAGAATGTTGACATTGCATCTCCCTGTGGCTTTTCTGTTGGAAGCACAGAAACATAAACGATTGATTCTCCATTTGGCTACCTGCCCAGGAAAGGGAGAGACAAAGAAGTACAAAATGCCTCTGAGCCTTGCAAAACGGCCCACTTGCCCGTGGTAAACCATATGAGGGGAAAACCTTAAGTGCCTAATTCTCTCTGACACGAACACACCATCCGTTGTATCAAGTTTCCTAAGGGACTGTAAGGGTCGTGGGAGGGTTCCTATGGGACGAAGGGACTACTGCCCTCTTCTACCACCATCACCTTCGTCGTCATCATCATCATCAAAACATTTTCACCTATACAATCGCTTTTGATACATTAAGAAAAGTATTGGACGTCCTGTTTTATAAATAAAAAGAGGTCCTTAGACTTTAAATGTTTTCTCCCAGAACCTTCATTTAAACTGTCACAGCCCAGAATTCAAACCTAGATCTCCAGAGACTTCGCCTAAATCCAGTAGCTGACTGGTTTAAAATGAACTGCCTAGTTGTATTTTACAAGGCTGAGGCTAGAGGTATGGCCTTTAGGGTTCCAGTTCATGCATGCATGCATGGGCTTATTCAAAACAGTGTTTACACATGCCTCTGTAAGCCGTGGGTGGCTTCAGACAAGTTATCTCAGTATGACATGTATTCTAGTCCTATTAGATTGCTTTCAAAAGTGCCATAGGAAAAAAATATTATTTTTAAGTCTAGTCTGATACAAAATTTTTAACAAAACCCAAGTAGACATCTTCTCTAATCTATGAAATTTTGTGATTGTTAACAGGTGTGGTGCTTCATATAAAGCATTAATTTTGGGTGGATCAGTTGTTTTAAGGAAGAAAGACCTCAAAAGTGAGCCAAGAGACAGAGAAATCCAAATTCAAACCAACAAGTCAGACTTATGACTGCAGAGGCCAGTGAATCTAAAGTTCACAGGTTAGATGGCAGGTCAAATGGCTGACTGCTGATGGCTCCCAAGGTCAGCAGGCAATATGGCAGGCAATATGTTCTCAAATTCAAAGCAATGATGAGCCAGGTGCAAGATCCAGACTCGGGAAGAAGCAAGCAAGTTTCCCCCACAGCATCTTCTTATACAAGAACTAGGAGACACTTCTGAGGAAACTTTCTTTCAATTGTATCAGGGCTGTGACTTGGATAAGGAGGTGTATTCTACCCTCCACTACTGATTGGCTGTCCACAACAGATCCCATTATAGGATTAATTTTATTGTATCATGTCACATCATTGAGGAGTATGAGGCCTTAACAGCCAAACCACTGGGATTCCTGATTTAGCTACGTTGACATAAAACCTAACCA